GGGGTGGCTCTGGGGGTTGCGGGGGGCTTTGCATTGATGCATTGATCGCCCATGGTCTCCGCCTGACCTCCCTGCTCCCAGGGAAGCAGTCTCCATGGCTACTGGCCCTTCTCCTCCAGCGCAGACTGTAAATTCCTGCAGGCAAAGCCCAGCCTTGGGGGTGCGAGGGGGGGAGCCGGGAAGGAGTAACCAAAGCCAAATAGAAAGAAAGAAAGGCTGGGAGAAAAAGGGCGTTGCTTGGATGGGGCTCTCCTTTCCACTCCCCTTTCTCAGGTCCCCAGCACCAGGGCAAGGCGCCTGCTTCCCCCCTCCAGCGCTGCTGCTCCTGCTCTCTTGCAAAACTGGAATTGGCTGGGATTATTTAAGGAAAAAAAAAAAAAAAAAAAGAAGAAGAAGAAGGAGAAGGGATCAGAGCAGCCGCCAGAGAGAGGGCGATAGAGTCCACTTTCCTCCAACTGCCCTGGGTCTCCTTCCCTCACTCTCTCCTCTTTAAGCAACACCAAGAGCCCCAAACTGAACCCAGAGCAGCTTTTTCCATCAGTTCAGCTCCCTTCCCTCCCTCTGTCTCACACACGGCAAGAAGAGAGCCCCTTCCTCCTCTTGATTTCCCTTCGCATGCTCAGCCTCTTGTTTCCTTTAAAGCACTGGAAATCCCCCCTTCTTGCCCCCACTCCTCCATGCAGACTGGGATTGCAATGGGAGCTTTGCAGATTGCTGGATTTTCCATCCTTTTCTTTCTCCTCCACTCTGGAAACACGCTGGCAAATAAAGCCAGTCAAGGTAAGAGAAAAATCTTCCCCAGCTCGAAGGTTTGCTGTTTGAAGCGTGCATTAGGCAGCCGGACCTCCTCTTTGGATCTGGGATTTTAGACGCGTGCTGGAGAAATTAGCAGCAAACACAACAAATAGTGGAGGGGATTTTAAATGTTGCTTACAGGTATTTTTGCCTGCTGCCTTTGATTGGGGTTGGGGTTTTTGTAAACTCTTTAATGAGTTGCATTTCTTACACTTTTTTTTTTTTTTTTTTTTGGTTTGGACTCTTTATCTCAAGGCAGGGGGTACAGAGGCAGAAAATTAGGGTGGGCAAACAAGTCTGCACCCATCCCAGGGGAAATGTTGCTGTTTGGAGGGGGTCGGGGGGCTTCTCTGGTTTGGGGGTTTCAGTGTCGGTGAGATGGGGAGAACGGCTGCGGCGGCGCGGGCGAGGAGGGCTGGTTTGGGGCTGGGCTGGAGGGAAGGGACGGCGGAGCGGGTATCTGCACTGCTGGGAGGTTGCATCTGCGTTTGTGTGGTTTACATCGGCGCGGGTTGAATCCCTAATGTGGTGCTATGGGGGGGTGGGCTGCAGAAAACTTTGGGCAGCTGAACACGGCAAAGCCTGAAAAATACGGGAGCTCTTTTTTTTCCCTATCTCTGGAAAAGAGAGGTATGTCCCGTCGTTATCAACTTCAGGCTTTTCTGTTTCGCCACTCCCGTGTTGAGCCAGAGTTTCTCCTTCGCGAGCGTACACACGTAGCTTTATGTATGGTCTGTCTATACCTTACATTTTCTATAGCACCTCTATATTTAGCTGGGATTTTTCTCTATACCCACGCGCCGGAGTGCGTGCGCACACACAAACACACACAGCCCTATGTGCGTGATCCTCTCAGCTCTCTCGAAGGGGTTTTTTTTCTCCTTCATTCACCACTATCTATACATTCTGTTGGGTTTTCTTTTTTTTTTTTTTTTCTTTCCATAGCACATAACCCTATGTAAGATTTATCAAAACCAGCTTTGCCTCTTGCTATTGTAGTAGCTGCGTGTTTACGCGTACAGCGAGATTAAATAGAGTGTGAATGAAATAGAGGAGCGCAGGATATAATTAAAGATCTCTTGGAGGCATTAGTAACAGGCGTATTTCAGCCATGCGCCTGGTCGCCCCGAGCCCTGTCACCGACAAAGTTAGAAGGAATTTCAAGGCTATTGTCTTATCTGGCTTAAAGTGTTTTTTTAAAACAATAGGCGACTTTTCGGGAGGGCAGTCTGGGCAAGCACAGGGGAGATTTTCCAGGGCAAAGGTTTGGTAAGAAGGCGTCCAGCTTCACGTAAAGCTTTATGATTTAGGCTTAGAAAGGAATGCTTAGGTTTTTATCCCCCCTCAAATTATCTTGAGTGTATGCATTGCTTTCATTTCTTATCATAATATTTATTTATTAAGGCCTTTTGGTTTCCAGTTCCATTTAAGCCTGAGCCAGAATTGCATTAAAATAGCAAAGTAAAATTCCATCGTGCAGAGACTTGACAGATCCCTTCGGGGAAGGAGAGGGGTGGAGTGGGGGTGGAGAGAGGTGAGCTCAATCCTGCGCCGGGGTAAATCGCCCGCCGCGCGCCCGGGACGGTGCTGGCTCCTCCCGGCCTCCGGCGAAGGCACCCAGCAGACCCAGGGGGTCCGGCTGCCCTGCACCCAGGGGGTGGGGTGGGATGGAGA